AATGGCGGCGATCAGTGAATTATGGCGGTGATCAGTGACTTATGGCAGCGACCAGTGACTTATGGCGGGACTGCGGCAGACATTCTGACATTGGGGGGTACTGACTTGGGGTCACTGATGTCCCCAAAAACACTAATACAGTGATCAGTGCAAAAAGATAAACACTGACACTGTACTAATGGCACTGGGGAGGAAGGGGTTAACTTTATTTTGCAGGGAAGGGTTATCTGAGTGAGGGGAAGGGTTTTACTAGGGGGCGGGGTGTGTGCTGGACAGGACACTGCTGATCGAGAGAGAGAAACTCTTCGGTCTCGATCAGCTCGTCCTCGAGCTGACAAGGAAGTGACAGACAGCACAGCTACTGCAGCTGTGCTCTCTGTCACTGTTTACCGCCGATCGCCGGGAAACAGTTGGCTGTGACCTGGCGACTGACATCTGCGGCGGTGATCGGCGGGACAGATAGGGCGGCGGCGCGCCTCGCGCGCGCCCCCTATCTGTTTACAAAACACACGTTTTAAAACGTGGTTTTGCCTGCCAGTGCCGCCCTGCCGCCGTGTTTCTACAGTGGCAGGGCGGCAAGTGGTTAAAACATGGCCACATGGAAGAAAAATATATTTTAAATATATTTTAAAAATATTCTCCAAAATATATTGACATATATTTGAAATGCTACAATTTTGGCCATATTCAATGTATTTCAAAATATTTTTAAAAATAAATAAATAAATATATATATATATATATATATATATATATATATACACATATAGACATACTGCATGTTGAAATGCATTTTTATTACAAAATCTGTGAAAAATATTTTTAAAAATAAATTTAAAATATACTGTGTGTCTTTAAAAATACAAATCTACATTTTTGGAAAGCATTTACAAATATATGTAAATATATATGTTAAAATTAATTTTTTATATGTTTAAAAAATCTGAAGAATGTATTTTTTCAGATTTTTTTTACATATAAAAAAGTCATAGGCATAGTCAAAAGGCATTTCAACATGCAGCATGTCTATATGTATATACAGTATATATATATATATATATATATATATATATATATATATATATATATATATATATTTTAATATATTGAATATGGCCAAAACTGTACCATTTCAAGTATATGTCAATATATTTGGGAAGAGTATTTTTAAAATATATTTCAGATATATTTTTCTTCCATATGGGTGACATCTTCCTTTGCAGCTTTAACCACTGATTCACAAAGAGTTTTCTACAAAGTCAAATTATTGATTTTGAGTGTTGTAGCATTTTACCTTCTATAGACAAGCAACATACTCTGTTGCTTGTCTGTATACATAATCACACTGGCGATTCTGCCACTGATGACACCTTACTGAATAGGTGTTGCTCCCTCACTAGCTGTAGAATGGTGATTGAGGGAGCAGCGGCAGAGTGAGGTCTTGCTATTCCAGCCAACGAGGAAGTAACACTATAGGTTAAGTAATGCAGCACTACCCCCATAGGAGTCGCTGAGTTTTTGGTCCCCCGAATGCTCTGCACAGCCAGGCAACACACATTTTCTTCCACACCTGAACGCTGAAGTCAGTAACCAGTCCTTGAGCTTGGTTTTAATGGTTTATTAAGGGGTTTTGCACTTGGATGGGGTTGAGTAATGCAATGGGATGTAATGGGATGCCCAAGGGAAATGCAAACTTGAGGACAAACTCCTTAGCAACTATGTACAGATACGGACAAAATAGTCCCTCCTATGAGAGCATTCCAGCTCTTTTGTGTACCTCCCCAGACCCCAGAAGAATCCTCCTCTTCAACCAGCTGCCTAAGAGGCAAGGGGACCCAGAAACTGCCGCTTTGCAAAACAGCCCCCCTGGTTACCCTCTCACCTTATTCAGCCCAGGGGATGTAGGATTATCCACTCTCTCCCCTGTGAGCTTGGTGTGTTGGTGGCTGCCTTCAGGCCTTCAGTGGGAGGAATAGTACTCCATCATTATTGTCAGTGGGAAGAATCGTGCCCCATCATTGGTGTCAGTGGGAGGAATCGTGCCCCATCATTGGTGTCAGTGGGTGGAATCGTGCCCCATCATTGGTGTCAGTGGGAGGAATCGTGCCCCATCATTGGTGTCAGTGTTTGGAATCGTGCCCCATCATTGGTGTCAGTGGGAGGAAGTGCCCCACCATTAGTGTCAGTGGGAGGAATCGTGCCCCATCATTGGTGTCAGGGGGACGAATAGTGCCCCATCATTGGTATCAGTGGGAGGAATAGTGCCCCTTCATTGGTGTCAGTGGGAGGAATAGTGCCCCATCTTTGGTGTCAATGGGAGGAAGTGCCCCATCATTAGTGTCATTAGGAGGAATAGTGCCCCTTCATTGGTGTCAGTGGGAGGAATAGTGCCCCATCTTTGGTGTCAATGGGAGGAAGTGCCCCATCATTGGTATCAGTGGGAAGAATAGTGTCCCATCATTGGTGTATCGGGGCAGCGGGACAGGAGGAGCACAAAGGGACAGGTGAGGGGCAGTGGGACAGGAGGATCGCAGAGGGACAGGTGAGGGGCAGTGGGACAGGAGGAGCGCAGAGTGACAGGTGAGGGGCAGTGGGACAGGAGAAGCATAGAGGGACAGGTGGGGGGCAGCGTGATGGGGGGGCATGGGACAGGATCGGGGCAGCGGGACAGGAGGAGGAGCGCGAAGGGACAGGTGAGGAGCAGTGGGACAGGAGGAGCGCAGAGGGACAGGTAGGGGGCAGCGTGACTGGGGGTCTTGGGATAGGATCGGGGAAGTGGGACAGGAGAAGCGCAGAAGGATAGGTGAGGGGCAGTGGGACAGGAGGAGCGCAGAGGAATAGGTGAGGGGCAGTGGGACAGGAGGAGCGCAGAGGGATAGTTGAGGGGCAGTGGGACAGGAGGAGCGCAGAGGGACAGGTAGGGGGCAGCGTGATGGGGGGGCATGGGACAGGATTGGGGCAGCGGGACAGGAGAAGCGCAGTGGGACAGGAGAAGCACAGAAGGATAGGTGAGGAGCAGTGGGACAGGAGGAGTGCAGAGGGACAGGTGGGGGGCAGCGTGACAGGGGGCATGGGACAGGATCGGGGCAGCAGGACAGGAGGAGCGCAAAGGGACAGGTGAGGGGCAGGGGGCATGGGACAGGATCGGGGCAGCGGGGACAGGAGGAGCGCAAAGGGACAGGTGAGGGGCAATGGGACAGGAGGATCGCAGAGGGACAGGTGAGGGGCAGTGGGACAGGAGGAGCGCAGAGGGACAGGTGAGGGGCAGTGGGACAGGAGAAGCATAGAGGGACTGGTGGGGGCAGCGTGATGGGGGGCATGGGACAGGATCGGGGCAACTGAACAAGAGTAGCGCAGTGGGACAGGAGGAGCGCAGTGGGACAGGTAAGGGGCAGTGGGACAGGAGGAGCACAGAGGGACAGGTGGGGGGCAGCGTGACAGGGGGCATGGGACAGGATCAGGGCAGCAGGATACATATCATATCAGTATAATGGAGTACAGGGAAGGGGGGATATGCATTACTGTATACATGTCATATCACTATAATGGAGTACAGGGGAGGGGGGATATACATTACTGTATACATGTCATATCACTATAACGGAGTACAGGGGAGGGGGGATATACATTACTGATACATATATCACTATAATAGAGTACAGGGGAGCTGGGATATACATTACTGTATACATGTCCTATCACTATAATAGAGTACAGGGGAGCTGGGATATACATTACTGTGTACATGTCATATCACTATAATGGAGTACAGGGGAGGGGGGATATACATTACTGTATACATGTCATATCACTATAATGGAGTACAGGGGAGGGGGGATATACATTACTACATGTACACTATGTATACATTACTGTATACATGTCTATCACTATAATGGAGTACAGGGGAGCTGGGATATACATTACTGTATACATGTCCTATCACTATAATGGAGTACAGGGGAGCTGGGATATACATTAATGAGTAATGTATATCCCAGCTCCCCTGTACTCCATTATAGTGATAGGACATGTATACAGTAATGTATATCCCAGCTCCCCTGTACTCCATTATAGTGATATGACATGTACACAGTACTTACTCCTCGAGTCCCCCGCGGCGGTGGAGAGGGGTGTCTCCTCCCAGCGGAGGAGAACGGACCTCTCCTGCACTTGTCCCCTCAGCGGGGGTGCCGCAAAAGCCGGAAACCGGAAGTTTTAAACCGGAACTCGGCTTCACAATAAGGCTAGGAGAGCAGGTGCAGTCACTCCAAGCTTAATCTGTGCTTTCTGCTCGCCACAGAGGAATTTCTCCTTGCATTTGGCGAGTGGGAGAGCGGCTTTTTCAAGCCCTCTATATATATATATATATATATATATATATATATATATATATATATATATCAGACATTGATCATCATCATAAAAAGTGCAAATCAGTAAAGTACAGCAGTGTTCAATATGTGCTAAATTTACTGATAAAGTGCAGACTAAAAGTAGGATATTCTCACTGCAGCTCTTCTCCCAGAGACCCCCAGAGATTAACTCACCTTCTGGTTTTAACCATTTAAATCAATAAGATGGTCAAGCTAAGCAGATTTTATAAACTCCTCCGGCTGTGCAGGAACTCCACAGGGATGACCAGTGACCACTAATCTCTTTGCAAGGGACATAAAGGCTCATTGTGTGCAAAACTCTTTATTAAAAAATAATCCAAATCCACGTGAATTAATCCAATAAATCCAACCCAAATCCAAACTCACAAAAAAAACCCCTTAAATCTTCTTGTGCTATCAGGTACAAGAGGATCACACTACCCTTTAGTTCAAACTTGTATGGAGGATATGGATTTGTATGATAACTATATATAACAATAGATTCAGTACCCATGTCACTGGATGTTCACTTCAAGGATATCTGCTTTTGAAAGCATTTAATAATCTTTTAGATCAATGCTGTAAATAACACTGACTTTTCTTTATACTTTTTCTGACACGTACATGTTTTTCTTTGCAGATCTGAATCTGCTGGACTGGAGTTCAGAAAATCTTGTTGCCATAGGGTTAAAATCAGCGACATATATCTGGAATGGAGAAAGCAATATTGTGATACAATCACTACATGTAGATTCACCGTCCACATATGTTTCTTCAGTATCATGGATAAATGGTGGGACATGTCTGGCCATTGGGACCAACAATGGAGAAGTTCAGGTACAGTTTTGTACATTTGCTTTATTCATAAGTATTCACAGTTTTCTATTAAATCAATGGCTATGTTATTATTTTAAAGTTGTGGGACATTGAGACCCAGAAAAGGCTCAGGAACATGCTGGGACATATGTCAGTAGTTGGAGCTCTGAGCTGGAATCAGCATATCCTCAGCAGGTAAGGAGTAAAATAAAATAGTACAAACAGAACTGATGCAATTATTTTCTGTTTCTACACATTTGCCTCAGATAATGATCAGTGAGGGAATCTACCAGTCTTGAAGCACAGAAAAGAGGTAGCATGCTAGAGATTTACTATGAAATTATAGTATGGTTTATACCTTCCCTTCTGTATTATTTAAAAGAAAGGTACCTTGACAATAAAATTTAATTCTGTTTTCTAAGTGCATGTATTTCAAAAGAGTTTTACAGTCTCATAGAAATTAGTCTCCATATATCTCTTCGCGTTGATCAGCAGGGGCTCTTCCCCCAATTTCCATGTACACCCCCTGGTCACATCAAGTCCGACTTTGAAATCGTGCGACTTACAGTGAAGTCACACCCTTTCAAAGTCGGGTGACATTCCGATTTCAGGTGCAATTTGCAAGACATCTGTCACAGATGTCTACGCAAATCGCACCAAGAGTAGTGCATGTACTACTTTAGAAATCGGTGCAGCTCTGACCAAGTCGGAACCACACCGATATGACCGCTGTAATTGCGGACATTAGGGTGCAACTTGGCATACAATTTGCAAGTCGCATGGCATGCAAAGCGCATTGGAAGTCACACCCAGTGCAACTGGGGTGGTAATCAGTTTTTTGAACTGCACTGTAGAGCTCCAAGGCTGCCAAAGCTTGGAGTGTCTTGTCCTTTTTTGATGTTGCGCTTTCCATTCTCAGACACTCATAACACCAGAAAACTAGCATTTTGAGAAGGAGGTAATCAAAAGCAACTTCTATATTTCTTTATGACAGTTTTTCTGTTAATATGGAATTATGCTAAGGCATATAAAATGAGAATGATAAAGCTGTTATCAGTTAAAAACATGCTAATTGTTCTTTATTGTCAATTATAATCCAGTGGCTGCAGGCTTGGCCATATACATCACCATGATGTTCGTGTGGCACAACACCAAATGGGAACATTACGTCACCAGCAAGGCATTTGTAGTCTAAAGTGGTCACCATCAGAAAAGCACTTGGCCAGTGGATCAAGCGATGGTCACCTAAATATCTGGCCATATGATCCAGGATCAATCAAGCTAAACACTCCTCTACAGAGCATCCTACACCCTACTGCTGTAAAGGTGAGATTGAGATATATTCTTGTTATCAGTTGACTAAGTAGACCATAATAAAGGACCAAGGACTAGGACTGGATTGAGACCTGGGTTTAAAAACAAATCCCACAGTGCAATTTTTTATGTACACATCCATCACTGTAACATTATTAATCTGCCCACAGTGGTAGGATGGAGTAGGTTTTGGAGTAGCTATGATGTGTGCCATAACTACTTAGGTGGACATCATGCTGACAATACAAAATTGGGACACATAAGAAAAGACATATTTTTCTCATAAATATTTTTTTTTTTAACTTCATAGATATTTGGATATTTCTATAGTTTTCTGATTTTTTTTATGGACTATCTTTAAATGTGTGAACAGTTGGTCTCTTTCATCTACAAAACACAACAGATACAGTATGTGTTGTGCCACACAATGATTGCTCTTTTTGAGTATTTATTTTTTTTTATTATCCCCTCTCAAAGAATTTTCAAATTCACTTTAATTACTGAGCACCACAAACTGAAAACACTATTTAATAATTTTTAATATTCAAAGCAAACTCACTTATCCATCTATGTTTCCATGCTTTATGATGTTGAGAAATCACTTTGGAAAAAAAACCACTAACATTTCTAGCTGCAGCCAGCTTGAGTAAGGGCAGATGATTCACGTAGCATTTAGTTTATGGAATCCATCTGCCCTTGGCTCAGGCACACAACCAGGAGGGAGTGCTTAGCTGAGAAAGCCCCTCTTCCCTTCCAGATGAAAGAAAAAATGCTGGTGAAGACTCCTGAGATGTGTGACATAATTTGCATAGGCCAGAAACTAGGAAGAAACTGAAGAAAGAAAAAAAAAAGTGTAAAATGAGTAAATATAATACACCTTCCTTTGTATTTACTAATAATAGCATCATAAGGATTAAACATAGTTAATGTTGATTGAGAGAGTTTAGTTCTGCTTTAAAATGCAGTCATTGGTGCAGCCCTTCCAGTACTGCACATCCTTTCCTCAGTCTTTCTAGATCTACAACTACGCTCCCTGTCCTGAACTCCATTTACTGGACTTCGATAGAAAGTTTTCCTGCAAGTCCATAAACCTGTTGATGGATCTCACATCAAAGTCAAATATTAACACTGAGTGAGGCTCCAAACTTATGAATAATTATAATGAACTGCTCAACATTGAGACCATTATTATCTTCATCAGGCCATGAACTGGTGTCCTTGGCTCTCAGAAACTCTTGCTGTTGGAGGTGGAATGCGTGATGGACAAATACGCATCTGGGACACAAGTAGTGGAAAAAACACCAATTCAATTAATACAAACTCACAGGTAAGACACAAACAAGTTTTAGATTGTATAAATCAAAGGATTTCTTGCATCCTGTTGGGGCTTCACAAAAAAACCTGAATCCCTCCAAAAAGAGCCCACTACTACTGTTTATTTGCTGAGATGATAAAAAGGGAAGCAAAAAAATTATTATATTTAAAGAAATAGATGGAGACAATAAAAAACGAAATAAATGGTGTTCACCAGACAATGCTTGGGTTCTGAACCCCCTGAATATATCAGAAGGTCAACACAGTGCCTTAGGCTGTTGGGCCTTGCTGGTGTAAATTCTTTCAATCATGAAGGGTCAACATCACATGGGGGCATTACCCAGGGCAGTCTGCATATAAATGTATGGAACACTCATTCCTTCAGACTATCCAATACCTATCAAGGCATTTTGATATGACATAACTCCTGCAAAGAGCCAACTGACTGCATGCATCAGAGTTAGGATATCTTAAGAGAAGTTCAGAGGAATGGTCCTGTGATGTTTTCAGTACCCTATGTACAGCACACTTATGGCCTCTCCCCATCCATGATCTGCTCACATTGCAAAGAGAAGCCCAGAGACCTCGTTATGACATCACTGGGCCTAAAATAAGGAATGCAATTAAAATGGAAAGATTTTATTTAACAATGTTATTAGCATGTTGATGAAAGGGAGGAAACATAGAATTCAAAATATAAGCAGATTGAACTTCAGCTTTATGTTTGGTATCAGAAGCAAATCTAGTGCTATATTCTTTCAGGTGTCTCTAAATTTAACTGGTTCCCTGCCGTCCTTTAGCAAAGCTACCGCTATGGGACAGCAGGGTTGCTCAAAATCACATATATACACGTGATTTTGCATTTCTGGCTAAGGGGGCACGAGCGCGCCGCCCTACCTGTGCTACCACTGGCAGCTAGAACTGTCACTGAGTCCAGGCCAGAGATTCCCCACCGGCAACCAGCGATCACCAAGGAACAGTGATAGGGGAGAGGTCTGTATGTAAAGAACACAGATCTCTCCGCTGTCAGCACTGACATGCTGCTTTGGATTGCTCTGCATAGCAGAGCAATACAAAGCAGTATGTTTCCGTAGTAAAACACACACACAGCACACACAGTAAAACAACACACAGTTAACCCTTTGATCGCCCCAGATGTTAACCCCTTCTTTCCCAGTGCCATTAGTACAGCATGCTTTTTATTAGCACTGATCACTGTATTAGTGTCACTGGGGATGTCAGTGGCAGGTAGTCAGTTCCCACCCAGTGTCAGAATGCCTGCCAAAGTCCCACTATAATAAGTCACTGATCGCCGCCATTACTAGTATAAAAAAAAATAAAAATTCCAGTATATATACTGCCATTTGTAGACACACTAACTTTCACTTAAACCAACTAATTTACATGTATTGGGATTTTTTTTTAGCAAAGACATTTAAATAAAAAATTCTAATTTTTTTACTGGATATGTTTTATAGCAAAAAATATTGTTTTTGTTTTCAAAATTGCTGGTCTTTTTTTGATTATAGCGCAAAAAATAAAAACCGCAGAGGTGATCAGATACCACTGAAAGAAAGCTCTATTTGTGGGGAAAAAAAGGGACATAAATTTAATTTGGGTGCAGCAGTGCATGACTGCACAATTGTCAGTTAAAGTAACACAGTGCCGTATCGCAGAAAATGGCCTGGTCAGGAAGGGGGGTAAATCCTCCGGAGGGCAAGTGGTTAATTAAATTGATTCTGAATTACTTAATTTCTCCTTTTTGCATTGCTCAAGCAGTTGCTGGGAGTTGCTTCTAAGGTATTAGGAGCTGTTCTGAGTTTCCAAGAGCTGCTTCTGAGTGATTTCAAATTGCTTCTAATTGATTTTGAATTCATATTATCTGGCATGCAGAAAAAAGTGTTGGTATCGAATGCTCATGTACATTAACCCTAAATATTACCTGGTGCTCCTTTATGTAAGCCAGTTGTAAAGTTAGTATTAACATATGAAAAAATCATTACATGCAGTACATATTTTCAAACCTCTGTGACTTTTCTTTGACAAGATCTGTTCCATTCTTTGGCTTCCCGAAACAAGAGAGTTGGCCACCAGTCATGGGACACCGAGGAACCAGGTGACTGTCTGGCAGTATCCAACTTTGCAAAAACTGACAGATATATATGGTGAGTCTATAGTATATTCTATAGTCAATTCCATGAATGTAATGAAACTATTTTAAAAGCAAATTCCCTTTTTAACTTCATGTATCTTTATTGATAATTTTCTCCACATGACATGCTGACCGAGCTGAGTACCCTGTTTGTGTTTGTTGTTATAAACTAATAAAAGAAAATCTGCATTTTGCATTTTTTAAACATTAATTTCTTCAAACATTTTTAAAAATTTTTGAAATATACGTATGTTTTTTGACAGTGCATTGACAGTGAATTCTTGGAACTAGGAATAGACACAACTGCATGTTTCTAGTTCTACAATATAACGTAGAGGAGTGTAAATCTAGAGATTAAAGTGGTTGTAAAGGCTGAAGGTTTTTCACCTTCATAAATTCTGTGCATGAGAGTAAAAAAACTACTGCTCTCCCCTCAGCCCCTCCGCCCCTCAATGCTTACATGAGCCCAATCGCGATCCAGTGATGTGCCTGAGAGCAGTGGTTCCTTTGGGTCTCTTCCTCCTCATTGGTTGAAAGACAGGAGCGGGAGCTCCTGCTGCTGCCAATCACAGCCAGTGAGGAGGGGGCAGGGGGCAGAGCCAAGCCGTGCTCTGTGTATCTAATGGACACACAGAGCAGGGCTCGAGAGCGAGCATGCACGAGTACCTCCATAGCAAGCCTCTTGGCGGGGGGATGAGCCAGAAGTGCTGGTGGGAGAGTAGAGAAAAAGGATCAGGACTGCTCTGTGCAAAACTATTACACAGAGCAGGTAGGTATGACATGTTTGTTATTTTTAAAATATTACATTTTTGCCTTTAGTATCGCTTTAAGCAACAAGGCAGGATGTGGGAATTGCTAATTGGGAGTTTTTTGACCAGGCTTCTAGGAGGGCTCAACTGGCATACAGGTATGACAATAAAGAGCAGTAGGCCTTCTGGGTATACACTCACCGGCCACTTTATTAGGTACACCTGTTCAATTGCTTGGTAACACAAATTGCTAATCAGCCAATCACATGGCAGCAACTCAATGCATTTAGGCATGTAGATGCAGTGAATACGACTTGCTGAAGTTCAAACCAAGCATCAGAATGGGGAAGAAAGAGGATTTAAGTGACTTTGAAAGTGACATGGTTGTTGGTGTCATACAGGATGGTCTGAGTATTTCAAAAACTTCTGATCTACTGGGATCATCTACTGGGATTTTCATACACAACCATCTCTAGGATTTACAGAGAATGGTCCAAAAAAGAGGAAATATCGAGTGATTGTCAGTTGTGTGGATGAAAATACCTTGTTGAGGTCAGAGGAGAATGGGCAGACTGGTTGCTGTGACATTCAGTTGGTAGGGTCAGAATTTGGCGTGAACAACATGAAAGCTTGGATCCATCCTGCCTTGTATCAGTGGTTCAGGATGCTGGTGGTGGTGTAATGGTGTGGGGGAGATTTTCGTGGCACTAGCAAGGTGTACTCAATAAAGTGGCTGGTGAGTGTAGGTCTAGAGAGAAACTCCATGTGAGGACCCACTGCTGGGGAACTTATGAAAGAGCATTTGGGAAGAATGCTGGACTTTAGGAGTTTGTGTTGGTGGCAATGAAGTGTTCTGCAGTGTAAATGAGAAAAGGTGAAGATGTAAAGCTGTTGTTCTTTGGTAGATTGTTGAAAAAGTATCCTGTGTGTGGACATCCTTTATTCAAGAAGGTGAGCTTTGGCCTAGGATGATGTGAGTACTGTAAGGGAAGTGGGCCTTAGGCCTGGCACTGTGTGACACAGTATGATGGAGTTTCTTCTAAAGTCAGGTATGTGTGTACCCTAGGCCAGCTTGGCAGGAACTGGCAACTAATCCAGGTTGCCAACATGTGTATATCACCTATTGGGACTTAAGCATGTGTTTGTCAGTTGCCAAGGCAAGCCACAAATAGCAGCAACCATATTCCTGCCCTAACAGGTTTCTTTAAAGTGAATGAATTATATTGCCATCATTGGTCTAGCTTAGCATGATGTAATTATCAATCTAATACCTGGAGGGCCTCTGGGGGTGCTGGAAATCACTGTAGTAGCCCAGGCTACATAGTTATAGCTGTGATCTTTCAGGTCCTGCACAAATGGCTTCCCCTCATCACACTGAACAGAGCAGATCACTTGCACAGACCTGCTGCCAGTTTTTTTCAATAACTATACTGCATTTTTCGATTGAATGAGGGTGGATCCTGATGTGCTTTGCCTATCCTTTCCACCTCATTCAGTCAAGGGGACACCTTGTATTCATGGAAAAAACACAAGTTCTCTAAATGGCAGCAATGCCTGTTCTGTCTTGGCATCGGTTGTACTTGTAGCGAGATTCGTTTAGACCCAGTCTGTCAGAATGTGTGCAGCAAGTTGAATGATCGCCTTAACAGATAGTTTACTCAATGAATAACAACTTCAGAGGTATTTTCCAATGCTTCTTTATGCTTCAAGGTAGCAAAGGTATGAACATAAAAGGTGTTTTCATAGGTAAATTTCCAGTAATGTACATAGCCTCCTCACTCTACAGCATCTTGATAACCACTAAACTAAAATGGGTTTACACCAGGAAATGAAGGTGGAAGCAACCAACTAGTCAGAAACAGCAGGGGTGTGTGGATGATACCAAATAACATTATAACATAACATGTAAATAACAACAGCTAAACAGTAAAGCTGCGTGGCAGCACAATGCCAACCAAACATCCCCTGTGTGTAGTGTGCATAGGAAGCCACTTAAGCAGAACCCGGAAGATCACAGCAAGGGGCGGACTGACCATTTGGAAACTCGGGCACTGCTCGAGGGCCTGGGGTCAGTAGGGGGCCCCATGAGATGCCCCTGGTACCTTATTTATAGGCTTTTTTGAGTTTGGGCAAGGACACAGGGGCCCCATGATCCCCTATTGCCCGGGGGCCCCATGAGTTGTCCGTCCACCCCTGATCACAGCTATCATTGTATGTAGTGCGAGCTACTACAGTGGTTTTCAGCATCCCCAGTAGCCCTCCAGATATAAGACATCGATAATTATATCACACCATGATGGGCCAAGTTAGTTATGGAATAAAGATCATTTCTGGAGTTCCTCTTTAAATAAGATTGACTTTATTTCATGACAAGGACACCCCTGGTTTTGCACTTACAGCTGTCTGCTAAGAATTTAGTTTGCTGCAGTTTTATAGAATTAGAAAAACACGAGGCTCAGCATGTGTAGATGTGTGTTGTTATTTTATATTTCTTTAACACAGATTTGATCTGGATGCATTATTTGATCTGTTTGTTATTTTACCCCTACAGATCACAAAGGAAGAGTTTTATATCTTGCATTAAGTCCAGATCAAAAGCGGATCTTTTCTGCAGCTGCAAATGAAACAGCAGTTATATGGAAATACTGGCGAGAATAAGAATATTTATAAACTGGAACTTCTGTAACAAGAATGAATATGTATCGGCTCATGCCTTTAATGCTGGGAGAAGAAAAGGCAATTCATTTTTCAATACTGATACACTGGGTGTAACAGATATTATTTTGTGATAGTGATTGCTGGTAACTGTGCTGTATTTCTAGATGGAAAGATTGCCAGTGCTACAATGGTCTGCACAGATTGTCTACCCTAGAAAGGGTATAATCCTGCCTGAACTGAGTATGTCTTCTCTACATTTTCAAAAACATGGGCCATATTTTCTTTCACCTTCAACTCTCATCAGTCTGAGGACTTCTGATTATTCTACCAGAATAGATCTCTATTCTACTAAACATTTTTTCATTAGACGTACTTCACTGCTGGATGGGGATATGAGAATTCTCATGGAGTCAATTTACCTATTTTTATCAGTAGGAAATAAAGGAAACGCCCGCTAATTTCTACTGTAAGTCCTCATGCACACGGGATGTTTTGATAATGTTAGTAACGTTAGCTGTGTAAAGTCACTTTAATAACGTGAGTTTTTAAGCTTTTTTTTAGCGTTTTTGCATTAGCATTTAGTGGAGTTTTCCCGCGTTTACGTTTTTAGAGGCTTTTAGCTTTTTTCGGTCAAAAAAAGTCCAAAAACACTGGTTTGAGGTGTTTTACCGTGTTTTACCACGTTTTTCAGCATTAGAGTGTTTTTATGTCTAAAAAAACTCCTCTAGAAACCCACTAGTCCTTGTTTTTTTTCCAGCCAAAACAAGTCCCAGGCAAAATACCTTGATTACAGTCTATGTGTGCATGGACACATAGGATAACATGCTGGGGGGTTTACTGGCTGTAAAAAAACGTTCAAAGCCAAAAACAGCAGCTGTAAAAACGTCAAGTGTGCATGAGGACTAAGCCCTCATGCACACGGGACGTTTTGATAACGCTGGTAACGTTTGCTTTGTAAAGTCATGTTAAAAACCTAAGTTTTTCTGCTTTGTTTAGCATTTTTGCATTAGTGTCTAGCCGCGATTAGCAGCATTTTCCCACCTTTTCCCGTGTTTGCGTTTTAGCTTTTTTTTTACCAAAAAATTTTTGGTTTTTTTTTGTAAAAAAAGTCCAAAAACACACCGGTTTGCAGCATTTTACAGCGTTTTGCTGCATTTTCAGCGTTAGAGCGTTTTTACAGCTAAAATACTCCTCTAGAAACCCACTAGTTCTGGGTTTTTTTCCAAACCAAAAAACATCCCAGCCAAAAAATATGTTGATCACAGTCTATGTGTGCATGGACACATAGGATAACATGCAGGGGGATTTACTAGCTGTAGAAAAAAACATCAAAAGCCAAAAACAGCCACTGTAAAAACCTCAGGTGTGCGTGAGGACTAATAGTTTAGCATTCTGGCAGTCAATGCAACTTTATTGTAAATGTAAATTGTCATACAATTATGTCACAGCCATTTGAACCATGTGACAGTTTGTGTTGGTGCATAGGTAGCTTTGGACCAGGAGTGTCAAACTCAGATGATCAGTGGAGTAATTCTTCCAGTGACCTCATTATGTCAATTTATGATCAGTCCTGCTTAACTTTACAAGAGATTATAGCACTTTAGTAATTAATTTTATAGCCATAATTGCAATTTACACCTTTTTATCCTAGATAAAGTGTTCATCAAAATGGAGTAAAATTATGTAAGGAAATGTTTTATCAACTGCTGAACAGTTAGGTCCTCCTTCAGTTTCAAAGTGGAATTCCAGCTGTTTTTGTGTTTATTTAAAGTCAGCAGCTACAAAAGCTGTATCTGCTGACTTAATAAACACACATTTTACCTGTCCCAGGGTTCAGCGATGTGCTCACCCACGCCATCCCTTCTCTCCTTCTTCTCTCCCTGGCACTGGCATCTCAACTGTGGGCACCAGGCTGTGACAGCTTGCGGCTTCAAAGCCGCGTGCCCACTGCGCATGTGCGAGTTGCACTGCGCATCCTAATTGGTCCAGCAGTCTTCTGGGACCTGTGAAAGTTCCCAGGAGACTGCGGGAGGAAGGAAAGGGCTGAACTTCATGCTCACTTCACCGTGGCCAACTGAGCCAGAAGTGGGAACGGGGACCTGTCAAAAACAGGTACTTGCTCCTCCCCCCCAAAAGGTGCCAAATAAGGCAGTGGAGGGGGGGGGAGGAGGCAAACAAGCAGAGCTTCCACTTTTGGTGGAACTCCGCTTTAAGTTCTTGAACCACAGAGGGCCAAGATAAAGTTGTGGGAGGGCCTCATGCAAGTTTAAAAACATCAGTTTAATATGCCTACATTATAATGAAACTTTAGAGCGGAATTCCACCCAAAAGTGGAAACTCCGCTTATCTTCCTCCTCCTCTCCTTCACTGCCACATTTGGCACCTTTTTGGGGGGAGCAGATACTTGGTTCGCCACGGCGAATTGAGCCAGAAGTTCGCCCCCCCCCCCCCCCCCTCCTTCCCCCTGTAGCCTTCTTGGACACTTCACAGGTCCCAGAAGACTGTAGCCCATTCACAAAGCGCAGATCGCTGCACACAGTGCAGTAGGAAACTGGCTGTGAGGCCTCAACGCTTCACTTCTGGATTCCCATAGTCAAGATGGCAGATACAGCACCCGATTGAAGAATCATCTGGGGGTGTTCTCACCCCTGGATCCTTTGACGGGTAAGAGCCCTAATATTAAAAGTCAGCAGCTATAGTATTTGTAGCTGCTGACTTTTCATTTTTTTTGGGGGGGGGGCAGAACTCCACTTTACAGGTGAATTCACACTAGAATGGACAGCTGCCGGAGGACTTTACTGTGGTAGGGGGCAGTTTGATGAGTAGTTCAGCACATCACACAGCTCCTCTAATTTTGTTTTTGTACAAACTTTGAAGTGTACAAAGGTACACATCATTCATGTCACTGTACAGCAGCGTGATGCACTGCACTGCTGTACAGTATCATTCAGTTCTATGCAGTGTGCTACCATACAATGCAACATGCTGCATTTATTGCAGCACAGCTCTCAGCTGCGTTATACTGTAGTGTGAATAAAACTTTGGATGACAGGCATTTTACAATATAATGCCTGTCATGGCACTGCGTAAATTAACTTTTAATGGAAAAGGAAGGCTTGTTAAAACATAAAAAGTCAATATTTCACTTCTGAAGCCAAACAAAAGTACTGTCTGTGATACTTTTTTTTTTGCACTAAGTTAAATATTCAGGACAAGGTATGTGTGTTCCCTTCTTCTCAGTCCAAGCAGTATTGATTACTTGTACTTTCCATCCTTCTGAGATGAATGAGAGGGACATCCTTTAGCAAAGAATACAGTATATAGACAATAGACACACTCCTTACCACACCCCGATGATTTAGTCCATGGCAAAATAAAGTACAAAACTGATCATTTACAGTAAACCCCACGGGGCTTTTTCTCACTTTATTTTATTTTTTAAAACGACTATTGCAATAATCTATTCTATAGGATAGTTGAAAACGTTAGTGCAAAAGAAACATGTTTTGCATTTCAATAGTACATTTGTTTTTGGCTTTTATATACTGTAGATCTATACACCAGAGCAAAGAGAAGGACATTGGAGAAAGAAAGAGGGATTTAATTCTAAAAAAAATGGACAGCCCCTTCAAATGAGGGGCTGTTGGGAGTTATTAAGCACTGTTTGGATTAAGAAATAAATTACCGTAGTTTTCTCTCCATAAAACACACTTTTTCCCCCCCAAAAAATGGGGGAAAATGTCAGTCGGAGCGAATATGGAGCGGCCGGCCCGGTATTCCCCCGTGTTAGAATACTGGGCCGGCCGCTAGGCTCTTCTCTGCAGACCTTCAGCGGTCCTACCTGTTCCTCGGTCCAGTGGTGTCCTCAGTCTTCTCTCCCTGGCACCGGCATGAGCACCTGGCTGTGACAGCTTGCGTCTTCACAGCTGGGTGCCCACTGCGCATTGCGCGAGAAGTGCCACGCTTTGTGAATGGCCCTGTAATCTTCTGGGACCTGTCACGTGTCCCAGAAGATTATGGGGAGGGAGGGGGAAGGACAACTCCGTGGAAGTGGGACCGGGTACCTGTCAAATTCAAGTACCCGCTCCCCAAAGGTCCGCAGTCTCCGGTCATCTGTACTATGTCCGCAGTCTCTGGTCATCTATACTATGTCCGCAGTCTCTGGTCATCTGTACTATGTATGCAGTCTCTGGTTATCTTCTGTACTGTGTCAGCAGTCTCTGGTCATCTCTTGTACTATGTCAGCAGTCTCTGGTCATCTCCTGTACTGTGTCCGCAGTCTCTGGTCATCTCCTGTACTATGTCCGCAGTCTCTGGTCATCTCCTGTACTATGTCCACAGTCTCTGGTCATCCCCTGTACTATGTCCACAGTCTCTGGTCATCCCCTGTACTATGCCCGCAGTCTCTGGGCATCTCCTGTACTGTGTCCGCAGTCTCTGGTCATCTCCTGTACTGTGTCCGCAGTCTCTGGGCATCTCCTGTAGTATGTCCGCAGTCTCTGGTCATCTCCTGTACTGTGTCCGCAGTCTCTGGTCATCTCCTGTACTATGTCCGCAGTCTCTGGTCATGTCCTGTACTGTGTCTGCAGTCTCTGGTCATCTTCTGTAATATGTCCGCTGTCTCTGGTCATCTCCAGTACTATGTCCGCAGTCTCTAGTCATCTCCAGTACTATGTCCGCAGTCTCTGGTCATCTCCAGTACTATGTCCGCAGTCTCTGGTCATCTCCTGTACAATGACCGCAGTCTCTGGTCATCCCCAAGGCTGTTTGATCCTGACTTCTCTGATCCTCCCCTTCTTCCAGTGCCCCCCTCTTATCTCCTGATAAGACATATTGAGTGGAGATACTCTGCACATGCTCAGTTTGGTGTGTATTGCTAGAGAGGGTTTTTTTTTCTTGGGAGAGGGCATGTGATCAGTACAGGACCAATCAGCACTGTCCAGACAGAGGTCAGGGGTCCTGCATCCTCCTAGAGCAAAATTAAAACTCTTCCTACAAGCTTCAATCAGTGCTCTTCTGAACACTGATAGAAGTCACAAGACTGCTACATACTGCTGACGAGAAAAGGTATTTAGCAGTTTGTATTTACTAAAATAGTTTTTATAATATTTAATATTTCCATGTTCTGTGTAATGTGTGTCTGTTTTGTGGTAGACCAGCTATAGTGAATTCAGGGTCCTGGGTTTAGTAACACTTTAAGTATTTTATAGAACATGTACTACTCCTCAGAAGAAGAATGTTTTATGTATTTCATGTTCTGAGAACCAATTGTCTCAAGTTACCAATTTTCTTGTAACAGTAAGCTTACTAATTTATAATTTATTCGAATGTATTTATTTGTGCGCTTAAGCTTTGTCTCTGTTTGTAGTTTATTAATGTGTAATATACCAATATTGGCTGTAAGGAATTAAGGAATGTATGCAGTATACAAGGATGTTTTGTGTGATTTTTTTGTTATAGTGCATCAGATATTTTCAGAACACTTATGCATGGCTACCCTGGAAAGAGTATGGTGACATTGTGGTTTACAATTAGCTCTATAATGAAAAGTATACTCATTTTCTTCCTGGCACTTATTGCTGGTGCTCTACTACTTTACTGTGGGGAGCAGAGTGGCTAGCAGCACTAGGGTCATCCGTTCAAATGTTTTTTTCTCACGGATGGTAGGGTGTGGGTCCTCAGGCCTACCCTGAAGTCTAGGGGAAGGATGTGTGGCCTTTTGGTTCCTTCCTCCCCTGTCCCTAGGGGGTCTCTCTTCGGGAGAGCCCCCTGACCTAGTACTTGGTGGCTGGCTTAGGCTAGCAACAAGGAAAGGGGTTTTGGCTAGGTGGACCATGTGGGAACCTTAGTCCCTGTCAGGAGCCTCGTGCCCCGGGGGATCAGGGTAGAGGTCCTACCCCTTCAGGGGGTGGACAAAGCACACCCCTAAGTGCACTTTTTTGTGTTGGTTTTGCACTAGCACATTTTTTGTTCACTTACGGGTTTTTCGTTTTTCGCACTTCCGCAGACTTAAAAAAAAATCTGTTCAAATCCCAACCATGGCACCACCTGCCTGGAGTTTGCATGTTCTCCCTGTGCTTGTGTAGGTTTCCTCTAGGCACTCCGGTTTCCTTCCACACTCCAAAGACATTATAGTAGGTTAATTGGCTCCTGTCTACATTGACCCTAGTATGTGTATGTATGAATGTGAGTTAGGGACCTTAGATTGTATGCTCCTTGGGGGCAGGGACTGATGTGAATGTACAATATATATATGTAAAGCGCTGTGTAAACTGACAGCGCTATATAAGTACCTGTAATAAGTTCCTCTGTTTACTGCTATCTTTATTTTCTAACAGCTCTGAATCTAAAGCTGATCATATACTGTAAGAGGACCAAACAAGAGAAATCAATCAATTCCCCCAATCAATTCTACACTAAACAGCATGGATGGATGAATCTTCCCTGCCAGCTACTGTTTTCTAACACCTGGAAACTGCTGTTGTCAGTATCAGAGCCGCCATTAGAAATTATGGGGCCCCCACACAGCCTATTTCCTCCCCCATCCCCCACAAGGGTGTAAACATTTGGAGTCACCCTTGTCATACCGAGGAGAAAAAAAATGAGGTAGTAATGTACATAGCGTAGGAGTCAGGAGTATGTAATGTAAATAGGGCACCAAACAAGAGATGCACAGATACAGTATACTGCAGCCTTTCTCAACCAGGGTGCCCAGGCACCCTGAGGTGCCTTGAGGTTTCTTCAGGGGTGCCTTGGCAAAATGTCTAAAAATTGCCCAAAACTTGTATACAAGCCAGCGTCTGGAACAAGCCTGACTTTTAGTTACAAAGCCACAGATTTTCATTGTGCACCTATATCGCCTCCTAGCTGCCGGCATCCTGACAACCAATGACATCATCAGTTGATAAGGAGGATGTCAGCTGCCTGCACAGCATCCTAGTTTGACCCTCCCCTGCCCCTCTCCCTCAGTGCTGGGGTCACATCAGCTCAGAGATGGAGAAAAACTGAGGGAGAAGAGAAACAATGGAATACTAGTCAGTACCTGTGTGCAAAAGTGTATTTGCTTTGGAAGAATAAATTACTTTTAATGTTGGGTGTCCTTCCTACATGTGTGGATGTTTCTGCCTTATATAAAACTGTTAGAATAGCTTTCACATTTTAGAACGGGGTGCCTGAAGACTGTCCATAATTTACAGGGTTCCTCAGGACTGTCCATAATTTTAATGGGTGCCTTTACTGAAAAAAGGTTGAGAAACACTGGTATACTGTGTATATATATATATATATATATATATATATATGTGTATGTGTGTGTGTGTATGAACTTAAATCCACACATAGGGACGCATACTGTCAGTTGGGGCTTCAGTTCTCCAGAGGTTCTAGAAGGGAAAAGAAGCTCCAGCAAAGATCAGGCAGAGGGGCAAACACACCTACTGCAGAAAGCATTGAATAGACAGTCTCCTCTTCCAATCAGTGGCTGGTGGGCTGAGCCCAGATTTTACCATCGTCCTGCAGAGTATCAAGGAAAGTTTCCATCGGATCCCTGTGGCCAAAATAATAAATGACTGGGCCATGGCCTTGTATAACTCTGTTTTGATGCTGCCTGCCCCCCTATCAGTATCCCTGGTCAAAATACCTGAACAGTGCCTGCATCTGATTGGATGCAGCCATGGTTTGACAAACTGCTTTCCACCCAGCTCCTTCAATTTCCAGTTTAAAGGATGTCAGGAGCAAGAATGCCAACAGGTCCACCAACTACTCACAATTTATTCCGTGAATGGCCAGCTTTAGCCAGTGGAAATGTAGGTCAGTGTGTGCTCTGAAATTCATACACTACCATCTGTCTGAGCCTCATCCACACAAATTGGAGAATGAGAGGGAGGCTGCACAGCACACAATTATGTAAAGTAAAGAACGAGTAGCTCTGGCACACAGGGGTACAGTAGTGTAAGGGTACAAATTATAAACTAAAAGATGATAATGGCAATATTGGCATACAAGTACTTTAAAACAGAGTATGTAAAATGCATTGGTGTACAATAAGTCCTTATAAAAGTCTCTCAGGCAGTCTGTCTGGAATCTTTTCAGCACAAAAAAATGGCAGCCATCCTCGGAGCAATCCAGCTCTGTATGCAAGGACAGAAGAAAAGATACAGGAGGTGCCCATCTGAGTGTAGTAATAACACTGTATTTAATAGCAAAGGATTAAAAACACTCACAAAAGTAATAAAACAAGCTCATCTGTGTATATGAGAGATGACCGTCCTGCAGGCACCACCGGTGGTTAGTGCAATAGCAGCTGGGCTGATGGAGATGGTGGGAGACACTGGAGTGGTCAATCCTGCAGAGTGGTGGTGTTGTAGAGCCGATCCAGTGGTGTTTGTGCAGGAAGGAGCCTAGGAACCAGCCTGGAACACATGGCAGGATGTGACGTAACAGGAAGAGGCGGTGGGGAGGAACAGCACAGACGTGGGAAAGTCAGGCTACGCAGTCAGAGCCTCTAGCTCCTTCTATTGGCCAATAGAAGGAGCTAGAGGCTCCGAGCGCGTAGCATGACTTTCCCGCGTCTGTGCCCTTCCTCTCCACTGACCCTCCGCCTCTTCCTGTGATGTCACATCCTTTGCTATTAACCATTTCCCGCCCGCCCTATGGCCGAATGGCGGCCAGCAAATGTCATCAGCGTTCCGGGTGGACGCCACATGGCATCCTCCCACACATGCGCAGATCTCGCTCCTGCAGAGCCGCGCAGCGGTGCAATCTGTCACCGGCCACGTACCTCGGACACGGCCGATGACAGATCTGAGTATCGGCCCCCGTTGCCGGGGTACCATGTGACCTGCTGTGACCAATCACAGCAGGTCACATGACAGTTGTATACAATGGATGGCTTCCTTCATGCCATCCATTGTATACTAGTGTCTAGCTGTGAATGGTCACAGCTAATCACATGCACATGTCATGTGATTAGCTGTGGCCAAATCACAGCTAAGCACAAAAAAAAAAAAAAAAACCCTGAATGAATCGATGTCATTCAGGTAAATGCTTGCTTATAGCAAAGCAAATTGTGTAAAAAAAAAAAAAAAAAATGCTGATCACTTCCCCAAAGTAGTACAATGTTGCTATGGTAACATTGTACTACTTTGGTAATAGTGAAATATGAAAAAAAAAATCTTAAAAAAAGAGAAAAACAAAAAATAAAAAAAATAAAAAATAATTAAAAAAAAAAAAATATATATATATATATATTTTTTCATACTGTCACCAGTCAGTGTCCCTGATCACCGCCATGCCAGTTATATGATGACGCTGTACTTCACTGGTGACAATATGTAAAAAAAAAAATAGTGAAACTAATTTTTTTAATTTTCCGAAAAATTATGACAAAAAAATACAACTTCAAAAAACTCGCCATGCCTCTTATGAAGTACGTCGGACTGTCTACTTTGCAAAAAGGGGTCATTTGGGGATATCTGTACTGTTCTGACATTCTTGGACCTCAAGAAATTAGATTGGCTGTCAGTACTTCAGGATTGATCAATATTCAGATCTATACCATAGTTTGTGAACTCTATAACTTTCCTACAAACTAAAAAATACATCCTAATTTGGGTTATTTTCACCAAAGACATGTAGCAGAATACATCTCGGCCTAAATTTATGAAGAACAATTATTTATTTGCAAACTTTTATAACAGAAACAAAGAAAAACGTGTTTTTTTTCAAAATGTTTGGTCTTTTTTTGTTAATTTAGCAAAAAATAAAAACCCCAGCGGCGATTAAATACCACCAAAAGAAAGCTCTAATTGTGTGAAGAAAATGATAACATTTTATTTTGGGTACAATGTTGTCTGACCACGCAATTGTCATTCAAAGTGTGAGAGCGCTGAAACCTGAAAACTGGCCTGGGCAGGAAGGTGTAAAATTGCCCGGTATTGAATTGGTTAATACAGTGTTATTACTACACTCCAAACGGGTGCCTCCTGTCTCTTTTCTTCTGTCCCCACAATTATGTAAAACCTAAAAGCAAAATAAAGCAAGGTGAACTAGGCTGCACCAGAATTACCGTATTTTCCGGCGTATAAGACGACTGGGCGTATAAGACGACCCCCCTACTTTTCCTGTTAAAATGTAATGTTTGGGCTATACTCGCCGTATAAGACTACACCTCTTCCAATGCACACCAGTGGGAAGAATCGTGCCCCATCATTGGTGTCAGTGGGAGGAATAGTGCCCCATCATTGGTGTCAGTGGGAGGAATAGTGCCCAGTCATTGGTGTCAGTGGCAGGAATAGCACCCCATCATTGGTGTCAGTGGGAGGAATAGTGTCCCATCATTGGTGTCAGTGGGAGGAATAGCACCCCATCATTGGCGTCAGTGGGAGGAATAGTGCCCCATCATTAGTGTCAGTGTGAGGAATCGTGCCCCATCATTGGTGTCAGTGGGAGGAATAGTGCCCCATCATTGGTGTCAGTGGGAGGAATAGTGTCCCATCAGTGGTGTCAGTGGGGGGTGGAATATTGCCCCATCGTTGGTGTCAGTGGGGGGGGGGGGAATAGTGACCCATCGTTGGTGTCAGTGGGGGGGAGGAAAAGTGCCCCATCGTCGGTGTCAGTGGGAGGAATAATGCCCCATCATTGGTATCAGTGACACCAATGATGGGGCACTATTCCTCCCACTGACACTTGCTGACCCCTGTTCAGTATGGTGCTGCTGCAGCAAGCATATATGGTTGCAGCAGCACCTGTGCACGGCACACTTACCTTCACTTGATTTTCGCGGGGGCCGCTCGGCTCCGCATCCTCCCCGGTGATTGGCCGCCTGTGTGCCTTTCCTGAGCTACAGTTCTGGCGGCCAATCACCGGTGAGGAGGCGGAGCCGAGCAGCCGCACGAATATCCAGTGGCCGAACTGAAGGAAGGAGCAGCTGCGCTTCCTGGACCGGATCGTCATGGGACCGGAGCCAGGTAAGAAACAGAAGCCCCTGCCCACCCCTGTACTTAGTTTCACTTCTGTTGGAAGGGGGGGGGGCGGCGGCGGCACCGCACCGCCCCCCTAAAAAGTGTCAGCATGCCGTATACCGGCGTATAAGACGACCCCCGACTTTTGAGAAGATTTTCAAGGGTCAAAAAGTCGTCTTATACGCCGGAAAATACGGTACATTTTAAAGGGTAAATACTAAAAAATACATATATTAATTTTGTACAGGTATAGATTAGGTCTTATATTCAATCTACACTGAGCGTGAATGTCATTCACATCTGCCTGAATGTTCCAGGTTCCAGGAGATGCAGATTCACTGTGCAAATTGATTTACTAATACAAGCGATATGGTTGGCGTATACCTGTCTTCTTTGATTATGTTATTGTTTTTGTGTCAGAAAAGCAAGGACAATGGAATTGATCATTATCAATCAATCCTAATAATCAGATACTACCTTATATTTTCTATCCTGCACCAGAAGCAAGAATGGCAGAAGCCAATGCATGTGGGCTTCACAGACAGTTCTTGTTAAAGTGTTACATACCCAGGACCCTGCATTCACTCTCCCACAGTACACAAAACATGGAAATGCAATTATTTTAGAAGTTATAAACTACTAAATATCTTTTTTTCATCAGCAGTATATAGCAGTCTTGTTACTTCTATCAGTGTCCAGCAGAACACTGGTTAAAGCTTGTAGGAGGAGTTTTCATTCTCCTCTAGGAGGCTTCAGGACCCCTCCTGACCCTCTGTTTGGACAGTGCTGATTGGCCCTGTACTGATCACATGCCCTCTCCCATGAAAAAAAAAAAAACTGTCTAGCAATACACATCAAACTAAGCATGTGCAGAGTGACTCCAAACCTCTGTTCTATCAGGAGATATTTAGGGGACAATGGAAGGAGGAGAGGAGAGGAGAGGGGAGGATCAGAGAAGTCAGGATCAAAAATCCTTTTTACACAATGTGGAGTATTAACCCCTTAGGTTCCATAGTGAGTATAACAAGCATTCTTTACTGCACATACAGACTGATTTTACTGCTGCGGGTTTAGTAACACTTTAACTTCACTTCCCTCCTGTTATTTTCCCCTATTAACTTAACTCCAGTGGGTTGTCCACAAACGACATGCTCATCCACAGCGATTCCAACCGTGTTCTGAAGGGATCCACTGCTGCTCACTTGTTTCCATGCCACCATCCTTTTTTCTGATGCAATCAGCTGTCTCTTCCATATTTTTGCAGCCAGCCCAAGAAAGACACCGACATCCCCTGATGGTGCACCATGGTGCATGTGCATTAAAGTGGTTGTAAACCCTTACATATACCCAGTGAAGTGACTGGTCTCAGGTGATACCCAGAGATGAAACATATCCTCCTATATAAGTTGTACTTGTTTTTTTGCAGTCTTATCTTCTCTACATCCGTTCAAAGTGCTGAATTTGAAAGCTTGTCTAGGAGTTCAGAAAAAAGGGGGCGGAGAGTTGTAGTTATATAAGTTGTACCTGTCTATCTGCAGTCTTATTTATAAAGCTTGTCTTGAGGGCTCATAAAAAAGGGCAGGAAGCAGAAAATTACACACTGCGGAGCTCAGTGAGGAGAGTTCTGAGAGCTGATTGGAAGGAAGAGACACACCTCTCTCCACACAGCTCACAGGAACAGAGTCTGTCACTCTGCTGGGGGTCCCTCCCCGTCACCATTTTTCTTTTGGTGTCAAGAAAACTTGTCAGAAGTGACTGATAGCAGAGGAACAAAGCAGCATATAGAAATGACACTTAGTGCTCTGGACTGAGATACGTACGTACACACGTTAAAAAGGTTCCTGCATTACTTTGGTCCCACTTCCATGTGACCTGAGTGCCACAGACTGCAATGTAAACCATCAAAAGTCACACCTGAATCTTTTCCAGGAGACATTTGTGCAACAGTTGTCCATTATTATTGGTCAAAGTCTCACCCATTCAAATTTGCATCAAAGTTGCACTCCAAATCATGCTACTTTGGAGTCGCACTAGTGAGAATAGAGCCTAAGTGATAAAATTGTGTTATTACTGGTCACCGTAACATGAATTAATAGAATAGTGTGTGTGCATATTACAAACACAAGTATATACAAAATGTTTGGACTGTGGCAACAACAAAATAAAGGTAGTTTATGTGAATCTCTAAAATATCTTTATTAACATGGAACATTCTCACGTGAGCAGCACCATAATGCTGGTTTTTGTCAATAAAACAACATGGTTTTATTAGTTGTGCTAGAAATGTTGGATAAAGCAGTCTAAGTTTCTACGTAAGATAACATTTACCAATAAATCAAAGATCTGAATGTGCAAGCATATTGCTAAATGTAAAGGACACTTATAAGAGGAGAAATAAGGAGGCTACCTCTGCTGACCTAGTTCTGAAAATGGGGGATGGATTTTGGATGGGGGGTAGAAAAGATGAAGATTTCCACTGAAAGTAGAAGAATCAGGACAAGGGACACATTATACTAACTTTCAGTTATGTCCCTTGTGCTGATTTTTCTGTTCTTTGTTTTAGCTACATTTAGGCTTTAAAAAGACCCTGTTGTCAGACCTTTAATTTCTCATAAGAATATATGTGCATTTAACGTATATTAAGAATGTGATGTCAGAAGCTACAGAAGGTGAGAGGAGGGGCATAGAAGCTGGGCCATCACAGACAGTAATTAGACACACCCAGAAGAGGATAGAGGCTATGATGTGGCAAGAGGGAGGAGGAACTGTGGCTGTGTTAGGTAATTGACTGAAGTGGTTGAAGTCTCCAGCAAGTTTACAGTCACCATGCAAATTAATAAAAGCCAAACATGCTGCAAGAAAACATGTAAAATACTTGACATGGTTGCTCTGATGAACCCAAAAAAGGAATAAGGAAAAAAAGGACTCTTTCATAAAGACGTCATTTGATTGATAAAGCATTTGAAAATGGTAGTATAATGATTACATGAATTTTAAAGTGAGTTTAGCACTATTTGTTGATCATGCTATATATCCAGTCAATGTATTCCTGGGTTAGGCGAGTGAAGACAGAGGCCTCGTTAGGTTGTCCACATTGTTTTGGCCCAAATGATGTCACTCCTGAAAACACTCCTTTGCAAATTAAGGGGCCACCTGAATCCCCCTGTAAAACATTTTTGAACAGATTATTTCTTTTTTCTGCAGATTACCACGATTTTGCAGACATTAGTTTACTGAATACACACAGTACATTTTATACTTCTATTACAGTTATTTACAGCGAAGGAAATAAATATTTGATCCCCTCTTGCTTTAAATGTTTGCCCACTCACAAAGAAATTATCAGTCTAAAAATCGAATGATAGGTGTATTGTAACACTGAGAGACAGAATAGCAACAAAAATTTAAAAGAAATGCATGTCTAACAAATTACGCACTGATTTGATCCCCTTCACAAAACATGACTTAGTACTTGGTGGCAAATCCCTTGTTGGCAATCACAGAGGTCAGACGTTTCCTGTAGTTGGCCACCAGGTTTGCACACATCTCAGGAGGGATTTTGGCCCACTCCTCTTGGCAGATCCTCTCCAAGTCATTAAGGTTTGGTGGCTGACGTTTGGCAACTCAAACTTTAAGCTCCCGCCACAGATTTTCAATTAAGGTCTGGAGACTGGCTAGGCCACTCCAGGACCTTAATGTGCTTCTTCTTGAGCCACTCCTTTTTTGCCTTGGCCGTGTGTTTTGGGTCATTGTCATGCTGGAACACCCATCCACGACCCATTTTCAATGCCCTGGCTGAGGGAAGAAGGTTCTCACCCAAGATTTGATGGTACATTTGCCCCGTCCATTGTCCCTTTGATGCGGTGCAGTTGTCCTGTCCCCTTAGCAGGAAAATATCCCCAAAGCAGAATGTTTCCACCACCATGTTTGACAGTTGGGATCGTGTTCTTGGGGTCATAGGCAGTATTCCTCCTCCTTCAAACACGGCGAGTTGAGTTGATGCCAAAGAGCTCAATTTTGGTCTCATCTGACCACAACACCTTCAACCAGTCCTCCTCTGCATCATTCAGATGTTCAGTGGCAAACTTCAGACGGGCCTGGACATGTGCTTTCTTGAGCAGAGGGCCTTGCGGGCACTGCAGGATTTCAATCCTTGTCGGCGTAGTGTGTTACCAATTGTTTTCTTGGTGACTGTGGTCCCAGCTGCCTGGAGATCATTGACTAGATCCTCACATGTAGTTCTGAGATGATTCCTCACTATTCTCCTGATCATTGACACTCCACGAGGTGAGATCTTGCATGGTGCACCAGACCTAGGGAGAATGACAGTTGTTTTGTGTTTCTTCCATTTGCGAATGATTGCACAAACTGTTGTCACCTTCTCACCAAGCTGTTTGGCGATAGTTTGGGCAGCCCAGTCCAGCCTTGTATACAGTTGTGACCAAAATTATTCAACCCCCAATGCTGTAAAGGGGTTTAGGGACTATAGTGTACATTTGGAATTGTATTCAGAATCAAAATCCTACAAGGACGTTGTAACTACCCAAATGCAACTAAAATGACATCAATTGTTTATGTAATACAGTAGTAAATGGTTCTTATGTGGTTTCTTCATTGCCACAATTATTCAACCCCTTAAAGACTACCACTCTGAAGAACAGAGGTTCATACAGGTGCTTTCCATCAGGTATTGAAAACACCTGTGGATGTCACCGAGCAGCAATCAAGCATAATAAGCACCAATTAGGCAGCTTTAAAATGACTGTGATACTCAGCTCCTTCTAGACATTTACTGGTGTGGTTACAAACATGGTGAAGGCAAGAGAATGGTCCAGGAAGACAAGAGAAGAGGTGATTTCTCTTCACAGGAAGGGCAATGGCTATAAGAAGATTGCAAAGATGTTAAACATACCAAGAGACACCTTAGGAAGCATCATTCGCAAATTCAAGGCAAAGGGCACTGTTGAAACGCTACCTGGTCGTGGCAGAAAGAAGATGCTGACTTCGACTGCTGTGCGCTACCTGAAGCGTAGAGTGGAGAGAAGTCCCCGTGTGACTGCTGAGGAACTGAGAAAAGATTTGTCAGATGTGGGTACAGAAGTTTCAGCCCAGACAATAAGACGCACACTGCGTAATGAAGGCCTCCGTGCCAGAACTCCCAGGCGTACCCCCTTGCTGTCTCCAAAGAATAAGAAGAGTCGACTGCAGTATGCCAAAAGCCATGTGGACAAACCACAAAAGTTGTGGGATAGTGTTCTGTGGACTGATGAAACAAAATTAGAACTGTTTGGGCCCATGGATCAACGCTATGTTTGGAGGAGGAAGAACAAGGCCTATGATGAAAAGAACACCTTGCCTACTGTGAAGCATGGTGGAGGGTCAATCATGCTTTGGGGCTGTTTTGCTTCTGCAGGTACAGGGAAGCTTCAGCGTGTGCAAGGTACCATGAATTCTCTTCAGTACCAGGAGATATTGGATGGAAACGTGATGCAGTCCGTCACACACCTGAGGCTTGGGAGACGTTGGACCTTTCAACAGGACAATGATCCCAAGCATACCTCCAAGTCCACTAGAGCATGGTTGCAGAGGAAAGGCTGGAACATTTTGGAGTGGCCATCGCAGTCACCAGACTTAAATCCGATTGAGAACCTCTGGTGGGACTTAAAGAAAGCAGTTGCAGTGCGCAAGCCTAAGAATGTGACTGAACTGGAGGCCTTTGCCCATGAAGAATGGGCGAAGATACCCGTAGATCGCTGCAAGACACTTGTGTCAAGCTATGCTTCACGTTTAAAAGCTGTTATAACTGTAAAAGGATGCTGTACTAAGTACTAAGATTGAATGTCACTTGGGGGTTGAATAAAACTGATAATGCTGTGAGCACAGAAAAGACATTTGTGGTTATTTCATTATAACTGTTATGTTATATTTGTCTGACCTACAAGTGCCTCTTTAATGTAAATGTAAGCAAGATGACTGAATGATCAAAAGCAATGTCAAACTGGCCAAAACACTCAATTTCAGTGGGGGTTGAATAATTTTGGTCACAACTGTAGGTCTACAATCTTGTCCCTGACATCCTTGGACAGCTGTTTGGTCTTTTCTATGGTGGAGAGTTTGGAATCTGATTGTTTGATTGCTCCTGTGGACAGTTGTCTTTCATACAGGTAACAAAATGAGATTAGCAGCACTCCCTTTAAGAGACTGCTTCTAATCTCAGCTTGTTACCTGTATGAAAGACACCTGGTAGCCAGAAATCCTGCTGATCATTCAGGGGATCAAATGCTTATTTCTCTCCATGGACATGCAGATCAGTGCATAATTTGTTAGACATGCATTTATTTTGAATTTTTGTTGCTATTCTGTCTCTCAGTGTTACAATACACCTACCATTCGATTTTTAGACTGATCATTTCTTTGTGAGTGGGCAAACATTCAAAATCAGCAAGGGATCAAATACTTATTTCCTTCACTGTATATAGCACCATCAATTTATGCAGCCCTTTACATACTGTGCTTTTCCATCCGTCCCTGTCCTCAAGGAAGTTACAATCTAAGCTCCCTGTTTGAAGTGCATACACAAGCATAATAGAACCAATTTAGACAGGAGCCAAATAACCTATCAGCATGGCTTTAGTGTGTGGGAGAAAACCCACACAAGCACAGGGATGATACGCAAGCTCCATGCAGATAGTGTCCTGGTTGGGACCCCATTGGTGTGATGCAGAAATGCTAACCACTAAGCAATACTTATTTAGTGTAGCTAATTTTTTTTAGGAGATAATCCTTTAGTGCTCTATTAAACATTAAGAGTTTGTGTATGGGCACCATTGATAATAGATGCCTGTTACCCAGTTTTTGCCAGGCAAGACAAGGTAAAGATTTTCCTAAACAATAGCTATTTCCCCAATTACTAATGCAGGGGAGCAAGCTGATCCAAACAAATTATTTTCATCTCAAACAAATGCGCCCACTAGGAATGTTGCAGAAACTGTATGTAGCTGCATACAGTATACAGCGCTGTTTTCTGGCAGCAGAATGGGGACTTACCATCCTGTTCCGAGAACAAAATTGAGTTGGGCAGATCTATGTGGTAATCTAGCATAAATCATTTCCTCTGGGCAGGAGTGAAACATTGTATGGGCCAAGCAGTAGGCTGCTCAGAACCAAGCACTAGGGCATTGGAGAACCATATCTACAAATGCCGTACCCCAACTGATCTCCTGTGTTTTCACCCTGTCATATGTTCTCTGAATAGAGGCTGTATTGTACATGCAATGGCTGTTGGGGGTCAGTAGTAGTGATAAGCTAAAAAGATTTAAAAAAATTTAAATTGTTAAAGGATAAGTTCACCTTACGACTAAAATTAATAAATGCTCATTTTTTGCCGTTAGAAAATGTGCATTTATTATTTTTGGAACCTGTGAATCATTGCATCAGTGATCAGCAGACCTCTGGTGTCATGCAGGTCTTCTGGAGACCTGTCAGTATATCTGGTTGCTCGTATGGGCTGTACTAACAAGCAGATATACTGACAGGAAGAATCAATGAACATCATTGAGAACTACAAGCCAGCGGGGACTTGCAGTTGCTTCATTCACAGAACACTGTGAATGAATGATGCCTCTGTGTGGGCGAAGCCCCGCATAGCCGCGCCGTTTTTAAAAAGTGACAGCTAGTACATGGATTTTTGGCTGGCTGCGGCTGCAGCATTCAGAACATGTTTCATGTTCCATCCTGCAGTCCTCATGCACACTAAATGTTTTTACAGCTGCTGTTTTTGGCTTTTGACGTTTTATTCTACAGCTAGTAAACCCCCCAGCACAGGGGCGTCCCTAGGGGTGGTGTCACCCGGTGCGGTAACACTTGGTGTCACCCCTCCGACGAACCCACAGGATGGATTGGATCTGCGGATTGAGCACAATGGATCAGAGTCCAATCCATTATGCTCCTTAGCAACAAAAGAGTGCTTTACGTATGTGTGGTCGTCAAGGATGGAAAAGTTGAAGAGAGCGGTGATGAAAGTGAAGGGAAATGGAGGAAAAGGTGTGGTGAACATTGAGAGATTTTTGGTTGTAAAATATGTGAGTATGTGCGTATGGATTAGCGGGAGAGAGAGTTTGGCAGGATGTATGTTGAGATCTGCGAGTGGAAGTGTGTTGAGAAAGTATAAATTGTATGAGAGTGATTTGAGGAAGGCGGTAAGTTTAGGTGCACCGTGGTTTTATATGGGAATTGAAAGATGCATGAGGCGGTATGAATTGCAGAAGGTGGTGAAAGAAGTATGGTGTGAAAGTAGGAAGGTGATGAGCATTTTGGAAAAAAGAGAAGGATTGGAGGTGGTAGTTGGTTTGAATGAAGTACAAAGCAGGAAAGTATGGAAGAATGTAAGTAATAGAGAGCTTGTGAATAGACAGAAAGATGTGGCATGGATGTTTATTCACAGGTGTCTGCCTACGAGAGGATTTCAGAGCAGAAGGTTGGTGGATAGTGAGATATGTCCGAAGAGGAGATTTGTGGAGAATGTGTTTTGGGAATGTGGATATGCAAGAGGAATATGGAAGTGTTTGACGAAAATGGTGAAGGGATTGTCTGGAGTGGAGCAGATGACTTTTGACATTGTAAAGTTTGGATTGTGTAAAGTGGGGAAAGTTGAAGAACAAGTGTTGTGGATGTTGGTAAATGGTGTTAAGGAGAGTTTGTGGGATGTGTGGAATATTCAGATTTTTAGGAAAGAAGAACTAAGTATAAGGGAGTGCATTTCCATGCTCAGTGGAAGGCTCTACGTATATGCATACTGTGATTGTAGGAAATATGGTTTGAAGGAAGCGCAAAAGGTCTGGAAATTGAGTAGGTGGAGGGAGTGGAGTGGGTGATGTGATGTATAATAATGATAGTGGGTGTGGATGGGGGGTGGAGTTATGCATATTAAGTTATTGGTGGAGGATGTTGGGAGTCTATATATGGTAATGTAATGGTATGATGTTTTGTGTAATGGAGGGTGGTTTGGATGGGGAAGAAATAATGTGAATTTTGTTATATTGTGGTGGAGGGGGTTGTTATTTTGAGTTTTGGAGGGTGTCGGGAGGTGTAGGTGGTGAAGGGTTTTTTTTTTGGGGGTTTGGTGGTTTGTGTGATATTAATCTGTTCTTTTTTTTTCTTTTTAGAGTGATACAACGTTGAAGGGACAGTGGTGGAGGGAAAGCACAGTGTTGTTATTGTATATATGAAGGGAAAGGTGTTGAGGGAAAGTGTTTTTTTGATTTTGTGGGAGGGAGGATTTTGTATTTTTGGAATTGTGTGGAATTGTAAGTTATTGTTGTTTGGAAATTTTTGTTTTATATGTAAATATTTTTAAGACCTTTTAAATAAAAGAATTAAAAAAAAATTATGCTCCCCAATCCGCAGATATGATCCATCTTGCAGGGATCATTGGCTTGCTTTAAAACATTCCTCTTTGTGGAGCTCGTGGAGAGGGTCTGGTGTCACCCCCTTTGATAGGTGTCACCGGGAGCAACGCGCACCCCCTGCACCTGCCTAGGGATACCACTGCCCCAGCATGTTATCCCATGTGTCCATGCACACATAGACTGCAATCAATGTTTTTTGGCTGGAAAAAAACCCAGGACTAGTGGGTTTCTAAAGGAGCTCTAACACTGAAAAACACAGTAAAACAATGCAAACTGGTGTTTTTGGTCTTTTTTTGACCAAAAAAAAATTTATTTTGGTAAAAAAAAAAGCTAAAATGCGGGAAAACAACGCTAAACATGGCAAAACACTGCTAAACGCCAATTAAATACGCTAAAAAACCTCACGTTTTTAACGTGATTTTACACAGCTACGTTACCAGCGTTATCAAAAAGTCCCGTGTGCATGAGGACTAAAACAGGTGGAACATGTAACATGTTCCCAAAGGTGACCTTATCCTTTAAAGCAGAACTAAATGCTTTCAATCAGCATGAACTATTTTTAACTTTTCTATTTGTATTCCTTACGCTGCTAGCATTGATAAATAGATAGGAAGGTATATATTTTTTTACTTGTTTTAAACTTTTTATTTTCTTTACATTTCCCAGTTGCTTCCTGGTTCCTGGCCTAGGCCAAAATGATGTTGTGAATCCCAGGAGTCTTCATGGGCATTTTATTTCTTTTATCTTTTTTTTTTGGGGGGGGGGGGAACTTTCTCAGCTAAGCACTCCCTTATGCCTACATGCCTGAGGCAAGGACACATGAATCATCTGCCCTTGCTCAAGATGGCTATGGCTAGATATGCTAAAGGGGTGGTTTTCAAAGCACCAGAATAAAACATGGAGACATGGATGGATGGGAGATTTAGTTTTGAATATTAAAATGAATTAAATGGTGTTTTCAGTTTGTGATGCTCAGATACAATTTAGTTCCGCTTTAATGATACACAGTGCTTTAGCAAACTGTATGTCATTCATTTAGGGTTTATGTTTACTTTTTGATGTTTTACTGAAGCATTAGGTAAGTAACAGTTTGAGACATATACAATTTATCCTTTAAATCCTTCAGATTTGGAGGTGTGTGAATACCAAAAGGCTGCAGTTTGGTAATAGCGCACATTCGTTCATTCTGTAGAGCACATATTATTGGCTGAGAAAGAGACACTATACTTACACTACAGGTATCCTGTCCTCGAGGTCCCACCTTAGTACACATCATATTTTCTGTTATTTTGTATTCTTTACTTATATAGTGTTTAGCACATTGTTTTCTGTTTAGGACAGTGACATTAACTTCCAGCAGATATCCTGAGTCATCGTTAAACTCTGTCTTTCCCCATCCTGCTGCTTCACATACAGTCCCCTTCTCTAGGTCATCAAATGTTTCTGGCAGAGGTAGAAGTTGAACAGCTTTTCCCAATTTAGCTGCAGACGATAACTGTAATGTACATGACAGAGTTTAATCAATAAAATGAAGAGAAAAGCTTTCTGTAGTTAAGAAAATATGGTTGTAGGGACATTATTATGGTATTAGGTACATTTATCTAATTCTTTGATCATTGAATTCAGTTATGAATTCATTCTAAATCATTAAAGTGATTGTAAACCCTTACATATACCCAGTGAAGTGACTAGCCTCAGGTGATACATAGATATGAAACACATCCTCCTACATACTGTGTTATTCCAGATCTGTTCAAAGTACACAGGTCAACGGCTATTTCTCAGATCCAGAAGGCAGGGGGCAGGGATCTGACTTCACACACTGCACAGCTAGAGCACAGTGCTTCAGTGTAATCTGAGACCTGAATGGAGGGAATGGACACACACCCTTTCTACACAGCATCATAGGGAAACATGACCAACTGGGGCTGTCAGTCACCTGCTGTGTGCTGGGGAAGGGGAATTCACCAAGGATGCTGTGGAGTGGGCACGTACTAATATCAGTGACTCATGCAGATAGCAGAGGGAAGAGGCATCAGAAAAATTACACTTGGTGCTTTCTATTGAGGCAAGTATGCACTATAGAGGCATATGCTTTGTTCATTTATCATGTTAGAGATTTACAATAACTTTAAACATGTTATTACTGCTACTGTAATTACCTGAAATCTAACATTTATAGAGTCCTTCAAGTTCAGTCTTTTAAAAAAATTATTTTATGTTGGTTTACAGGAAGGCAAAACTCCCACTCCATTGAAAACTATTGACAACTGTGGGTATAATAAGTCATATCAGTAATGGCTTCCTCCTACTTTACAGCTGGCAACAGTACTTGGTTCCATGTGGGTATGGCAGTGCATATACTCTGGCAAAAACCAGTTCAGACATTAGCTCATGTTGAACATATTCTGGTGTTAGCTATCCTTTGTCCCATGTCTAATAGCTATTTTTTTTACCCATATACAAAACATCCACCTCTACTCCTGGAATGATGGCTGGCCATACTTGGCACGTGTCAGCAATAGGTGGGCTAGTGGTGGTAGTGGGGGGGCTCAGTAACCAAAGTGATGGCTAAGAATTGTATTCATTTCTATGGATGATTGCCTGCTCACTGGCTCAGTAACCTGTTTTAGTGATCCTACCCACACATCTTCTCTGGTCTTCTTATGTTCATTAATATATAATAATGCAATAATAATTTAATAATAAAGTGTGTATCCAGTATCTTACCCTATATAGTTTAAGATCATTAAAATAACTGGTGTTGTTATAGAGAGAGGGTGCGTATAACTCTTGGAATATCGAAATACTTGCTGCTCTTTTTCCTTTTTGTCCTTGGCATGAGCACCAAGAATAACAGTTGTAATGCTTCCAGGTCTAAAAGACAGATAATTAATATGGCAGTCATTATATCATACACATCACATTATATTATCATTTTTTTCCATACTTGAGTGACTTGTGCATAACTAGTTTGATTTTTTGTCATTCTGCCTAATAAAGATAAGCTTACAGTTCGGTCTGAACTGTGTTCATCAGTGTCAGTCTTTTTGCTCATTTGATGGGACCTGAATGTTATATATAGTAATGGCTTTTCTTTTGCTATGATAAATGACAGCTTCCAGTCAATGGTTGTTAAGGAAGCAGTGGGTGCTGCGGCATCTTTAGTATCAAGCGACGTCACCCTTTGTCAATGGTTGTTAAGGAAGCAGTGGGTGTTGGCACCCCCTGTATCCTTAACAAGTCGAGACATCACCTGGTCCCATTCATTTACAAAGGAACAGCCGACCAAATATGACCACATGGGGGCTTGCTCATTCCGATAAACTCCCTGCCCGCATACCCCCCAAACCATCCAGGGTCAAGATCTTTATTAAATATTTTAGGTAACTCTGCCACTGTTCCAAGTTCAGAAAGTGCTTGAAGGTTACATACAACATCCTCATATACTGCCCAATCTCTATCAGAACATTTAATGCACTTAACCCATTTGCGGAATGTAACCTATTAAAGGGAACCTGGAATATAGCATGTAGCAATGAATTTAAAGTAGTGTTTCTCAAACTTTTTTTCAGTCAAGGCACCCTTTAAAATTCTGCACCTCATTTGGGGGCCTGGGCACCCTGGTTAAAAAAGGCTGATGTAAAGCAGGCCATAGGCGGAGCGAACCACGGGTTGCAGTAAAGAAATTTGCTTGATTCCCCCATCAACATCAGACAGTGTTGATGGGGGAATCCCTTCCTCAAAGCCAGTGTGTTCTCCCGGCAGGGAGCTAATGGCTATAACAGCCGCTAGTAATAATCTCATGTAAAATCTGGTGGACTAGTTGTACCCAAGCTGGTCGATTGTTCAGCTTGGGTACATTCAGCCTGTCCATACATGACTTGAATTTCTGCCGGTTCCTACTGAACTATACTGCTGTTTACTATACTGCTGTATATGGCTGGCCTAACAAAACTGCTTTTTTGTTTATAGCTTTGACTGGATTTTGCATATGCTTTAGATAAGAACTTTGGTTGTGTATATTTAGAGCATGGTCATGTATATTGCATTTTTGGGTAAATCTAAAGTTCTTACCTAAAGCCAAACTCCAGCCTATTTATTTTTAACATATGCAAAGTCCAGTCATAGTTGAACAGCTTACCTACCACCCTATAGCAGATATACTGCTACAGGGCAGCCGCTCTGTGCAAAATCACATATATATACCTGATTTTGCATTTCTGGGTAGGGGGCGCATGCCACCCTACCTGCGCTGCCATGGCTGCATCAGATTTCAATCATTAGGTTCCAGCTGCCGATTCTCAGCCAGCACACGGTGATCGCCTCTAAAGCTGAGAGGGGAGAGATCTGTATGTAAACAACACAGATCTTTCTTCTGTCAGCATGGACATGCTGCTTTCTCTCTCTCTCTGCACAGCATGTCTCCCTGGTAAAACAGCACACAGCACACAGTGTAAGCACAACACAGTACACAGTTAACCCTTTGATTGCCCCAGATGTTAACCCCTTCCTGCCCAGTGTCATTAGTACAGTGTCAGTGCTTTTTATTAGCACTGATCACTGTATTAGTGTCACTGGAGATGTCAGTGACCGTTAGTCAGTTCCCTCCCAGTGTCAGAATGCCCTCCGCAATCCCGCAGTCGCACAATAAGTCGCTGATTGCGACTAGTATAAAAAATAAAAAAATACAAATTCCAGTATATATACCATTTGTAAACGCTATAACTTTCACGTAAACCAATTACTTTACACGTATTGGGATTCTTTTTAGACTAAATTTATGAAGAAATTATATGTTCTAAATGTTTTTATTGGATATGTTTACAGCAAAAAGTCAAATATATTGTTTTTTTTTTTTTCAAAAGTGGACCTGCCTATAGGCATAGGTAAGGTGTCGTGGACCTGCCTATAGACACATCACCATGGAGAACAAGTGTTGTAGAGAGCTGCACTACTTCCTCTGCACTGCTAGAGAAAATCCGAAGCAGAAGAGGAGTCGGTATGTTACCTAACTAGCCTTAAGACATTTGGTAAAGGTAAGTATAAAAATTATATAAAACGTAGCTGGAAGACCTCTGAAGGTTGTAAGTGAGTAGGAGAAACATGGAGGCTTCGTGTATGCTTCGTGTTCATATCAAGGCAGGGAGAAGTGATACTTCTGGAGGGATATGTGTATAGGTTCTGATTGTTGCTCGTTGGGAAAGATTGGGCTGCAAGGTGTGCAAGATTAAAGGGAAAACAAATACCCCCCCCCCCCCACACACACACACATATATATATATATATTCCTACCTACAATTTTACTACAAGCATGGCTGAAAAAAAGTCCATTCCCTTTCTTTTTTTTTTATTTTAAGGATTTGCTGAATATTATGCTATGAAAGCAGATGTACTTACCGGTGACAGTGACCAGCAGTCAGCACCCATCTGGGGTGTATTAAACTTCCTCCACATATCATTTCTTCATACTTTGTTTCAAAATGTATCAGAGCCATGTACGGTCTGGAATGTGGTTTAGCTATATCTCCGTTTATGATTTTTATCCTGGCACCTGTGTGAATGAACATAGAAGTCTTATACCAAAAAACAACACCATACCATGAAACACATGAAATATTTACCAGAATATTAGATTGTGAAGTCATATGGGCAGCACAGTGGCTAAATGGTTAGCACTTTTGCCTGGCAGTACTAGGGTCATCGGTTCAAATCCCAGCTACGGCACCACTTGCCTGGAGTTTGCATGTTCTCCCTGTGCCTGAGTGGGTTTCCTCCAGTTTCCTCCCACTCACCAAAGGCATGCTGGTAGGTTAATTGGCTCCTGTCTACATTGGCCCTAGTATGTGTATGTATGATTGTGAGCTACGGACTTTAGATTGTATGTTCCTTGAGGGTTAGGGACAGATGTGAATGTACAATATATATGTAAAGCGCCGTATAAATTGACAGAGCTATATAAGTACCTCTAATAAATAAATATATGGGAAGTTCAAATCCAAGTGAACAAATCATGGGGATTCTACAATATTCCTCTTCTAAATGCAATTAGGAAGAAAACTATTGAAAGCAACCAGCTTCACTCCCCAGCCCTAAATGAGAAAATGGCTGTAGAAATGGTACAGATTTTCTAAACAGCAGATGGAGCTCATAAAAGCTTCCTGCATTACCCGTTTACATAGTAAATTGTAGAATGAGCTATAGAAGCTGTGCCCATACACATGCAGGTTGAGGGAGAAGGTCTAGTTGTCAGTGATGGCTGTGGTCTCCATTCCCCGTTACTGATTTACCATGCCTGGTTCAGCCATGTGTCTCTGAATGGAGGTGACTATCTTGGTACAGGTTTTATTCCAATAAGAAGAACAGTGAGGAGCTGAATAGAGGCATCAACAAATCTTATGCCAAATTCATGAGAGTAGTAGTCAGAGACAGCGGTTGTAAATCTCAAACATGAAATATGAACAAAGCATGTCCCTCTATATTCTGTACTCTCAATCTAGAGCACTAAGTGTCATCTTTGTCTGTTGCTTCATACCTCTGCCATCAGCATGAATCACTTCTGACAAGTTTTCCTGACACCAAGATAAAAATGGTGACTGGGAGGGAGTTCCAGCTGATTGACAGCCTCAGCTCTGTTCCTGTGAGCTATGTGGGGGGGGGGGGGTGTTTCTTCCCTCCAATCAGCTCTTAGAGCTCTCCACACCAAGCTCTGCAGATTGTAACTGCAACTCTCCACCCCCTTTTTTCTCAACTCCTAGACAAGCTGTAAAATTCAGCACTTTGAATAGAAGTAGAGAAGAGAAGACTGCACATAGACAGGTACAATTTATGTAGGAGGATATGTTTCATCCCTGTGTATCACCTGAGAGCAGTCACTTCACTAGGTATATATAAGGGTTTACAACCACTTTAAGCTGACCATAGATGGATCGAAATTCACATCCTGCTCAGAAGGGAGACTTAGTAAAGCTGACTTCGATAGCCTTACTTCCCCCACCCAGTGTGGACAAATGTGGTTTCTTTACATACAGTATATATATTTTTAAAAAAGCTTTCATAGCCAGTAACATCCAGCAACTACAAGGGTGCAAAAACCATTTTGATGTACCTACAAAGGCAAAAAACCCCAGATCACAGGCTCACCAGTAAGTAATTACAAAATCAATCAGGAAATATGAAATGTGAAAAGCGCTATGGTTTATACCCTATTAAGAGCTATGCAAGAGCTGAAGAGGTTAATATTTGCACTTGATGGCTGTGGGTGGGGCAGATATTAACTTCATAGTTGTGCATTACTACAGTTAGACGCTCCAAGGTTGTTGCCTCTATTTTCAGATGTCAGGCATAGAAACATACCAAGATGCCAAGCAGAAAAACATCACAATGCTAATACTACAGTAAAAAAATCTTAAAAAAGGAGTTCCACTCAAAAGCGGAAGCTCTGCTTATTTTCCTCCTCCCCTCCTCCACTGCAATATTTGGCACCTTTTGGGGGGGAGCGGATACCTGTTTTTGAGTTCGGCCCCCTCCTCCCTCCTGCATTCTCTTGTGAACTTTCACAGGTCCCAGAAGACTGCTTGACCAATTAGGAGGCACAACGCGACTTGCACAAGCGCATGCACAGTGGGCTCCAGGCTGTGAAGCCACAAGCTGTCACAGCCTGGTGCCCACAGTTGAGATGCCGGCACCGTGGAGGAGAGCAGGGGAGAAGGGACGGCACGGGTGAATACATCGCTGGACTCTGGGACAGGTAAGTGTGTTTATTAAAAGTCAAGAGCTACAGTTTTTGTAGCTGCTGACTTTTAATAAACACAAAAACGGCTAGAATTCCACTTTAGATGCAAACAAATTTGTTGTAAAGCTGAGCAAATGTTATCTTGAGAGATGTGCATTGACATGGTTGGATGCACCACGCATGTGCCTTGTTTTCAGATAACAAATATACATACATATCAAAATTCCAAACACAAAAACATTACAATGCAATTACTGCAGTAACAATAATACAGCCTAAACATACGATAATCATCATATTTGATCTCCTAATATTTGTCACAAACAAAAGCACATTTCGAAATAGCATTTTTGAAATTAGATAACAGATATTTCTGCTTTCAAAGCTGTTGGTTTCAGGATTACAACTGATCTCCAGCTAAGCAGAGACGTTTTGGAATATCAGTTTGGTATTTACTGCTGCCTACATTGTTCTGGTGGTTTCTACTTACTTCCTACTGTATCACTATAACCATCAGTGAGGGGCAGTATTTGTAAGAGGGACATAGACAGTAATAAACCAATGGGGAAAGTGATGGCAAAAGAGGAATTTTTAAAAAGATTTTTGCCTGCAGATAGACATATTTTTATCCCAAGCTTGTTTGAATCTGCTTATTGGCTAATTTGTTGGAACCCCTTCTTAGTTTTTATTCCTGCAATACAAATCTGACCCTTCCTCACTTAAAAAAAGACAATTCCCCCCTTACAGATACCTAAATGGGTTAATAGGGTCAATAGGAACTTATCTGAGAGGAAGAAGTTTCTCATTGCTCAAGGAACTCCTAGAAACCTCTAGAGGAAACCTAGGGTTCCATGGAACCATGGTTGAGAAAGCCTGACCTACACTAACAAACAAAGGAAGTGGTGCATCTACTATGATTACTAATGTCAAGAGACTTCATAATTTTAACTGTCTGCATTTTTTCCCTGTTATTATGATTAATTTAATTTTAAGATTATTACTAATGTTGTACAAAGCAAATATTTGTCCAGGATGTGAAATATGTTAGGTAAGCCATATTATTTATCCGTATATATAATGTATAATTGTAGAATGTAAAACATTCTACAATTCTACAATTACAGCAAATTGTGTTCCCAGAGACCTGAAAATATATTTCAAGAGTTCCTTCAGGGTAAAAAGGTTGAGAAAGGCTGTATATGACAGAACTAGAAATATCCCTTAACTTTCTGAGATGAGAAAGAGTGACACATTTTAATTAAAAAGTATGTTGGCAAAGGCACAATGAACACACCCCAAGTTACATGGACCATGGGAAATTAATACACAAAAATTAATTGGTTGAACCCTCAAGGCCCACAAGACATTTGGCATTTGTATATATATATATATATATATATATATATATATATATATATATATATATATATATCCCGCAGTTCAGACTAAAAAGAGGCACAACTGAGAAGGAAAGAGAGATTTGGTTTTGAATGAGGGATAGTCCCTGTAAATGAGGCACAGTTGGTAGATATGGAGCTTGGCAATTACATTTTGTATAACAGTTTATTTCCCAGAAAACAATCACATTATCCATAGATAAAGATATAAAAAGATCTTACCATCAGAACAGAGTAGGTGAAGTGCAAAGAGAGACAAAATAAGTTGCAGTCTCATGGTTGAGAGTCAGACATCACCAGTGTGAATGGTATGGACGAAGAATGTATAAATACCCCATAAAATCTTATCGCAACAATCTCATACTACATGCTGATAAAGGTTTATCACTCCTAGAGCAAATATACCACAGAAAATGCTTCATATCTGTCATTATCATCACCAGTTCTCAAAGTTAACTTCTTTAAAAATTCCATGCCAGACTTGACTAAAATTTTAAATATTATTAAGATTACCTTTCATGAAAGATATACAGCCAATGGCTGTCATTGCCAATCTGCTTCTGACATTTTTTTTTTGTAATCATATATTTATTGATATTTTACAGTACAGAGAAGAAAAAACTGTATAGAATCAATTATCACAAATAAGAGAATATTGCAATGTGATCTAGGATACAAAACGTGATCAGCAAGTTAACAATTGAACAAAACTCGTATGTATGTCAGCCCAATCACATTTGACGTGGGATAGAGCCATCTTATACAGTTCAGAACATAAAAAGAAAAAAGAAAAAACTAAATGTACAATGCACTCATATACCTGAGAAATATGTCCACAGCAAATATAGGGGATCACATCTAGGTGTGCAAGATGAATTGGGTTGCACAATAGGAAAGCCAATAAATCTATACATGACAAAACAATCACAGAGTCCAATCAAATCTAACATGTTGAGGGGACCGTAGAAACTGGTGGGCCCCGTAGGTAATGAGGGCTCAATTGTCTGGGACTTCCTCAGAACAATGCATCCAGTCCAACCACACATCCCAGAACTTATCCAACTGATTTTTTTTTTAATAATATTTAATTTTATTGATATTACATATAAATACATCTTACAAACAACTTCAGATACTATCTCCCACACATATAGAAGAAGGGATAAAGAAAACAAATTACTAAGGAGCATATCCATATAGTACATATTGACTCTAAACAGGGGCGTATTTACCACAATGCAAACAAGGCATTTGCCTAGGGTGGCATTTTTTAGGGGGCAGCACTGCCCCCTGGAAGAAGGGATACATGCAGCATTGGGACCAGC